AGGGGGGGGGGGGGAAATAAATGCAGACCCCATCGTATTTGCTACTGCACGGCAAAGGGCAGCAGCAGTTTCCCTCTGCGCATCTCCGCAAAGCACGGTGGCTCTGGGCAGAGTCGGTGCCGGTGCCTCCAGCACCAAGTGTGTTTTGGCGAACAGAAAAAGGCCAAGGAGGTGCCTGGCGCAGGGGTTTCTGTGTATGATTTACATCGTCTCACGTTGTTTGACGCTGCCGTTTGTTCTCAGTCAATTGCCGCCGTGGCTGTAACGCATGTTTTATCAGAACTGCTTGTGGTGGTGTCTCACCTGTGTTCATTTATCTCCTCCATTCCGTAAACACTTAATAATCAAGGACATTTAAAATAAAAAAAAAAAGGTTTAAAGCTCAAGCCTCTCTCTGCTGGCTTGATCTGGAGGAGATGGCAGAAGCGTCACACCCCAAGCATTTCAAAATAAATCCTGGTTACACATGCACACGCATCGATTACATTCCAGCATGCACTTAACTGCCTAATTATGCTGAAAAATGCAATGGCCGAGCTGAGCGGGAGCAATGGCCCCAGGACAGCTCTGCAGCCCCGGCAAAGCGCTGCGCCCTGGAGCGGGGCTGGGGTGGCACGGGGGGCCCAGCCGCGCTCCCCAGCTGCACGAGCAGCGCTTTGCAGAGCGTCCTGCCAGCTCCTGCTGCCCGCGGCGGGCAGCACCGTCCCCAGGGGCTGGCAGCGCCTGGGCTCTGGCTGCTCCCACAGCAGCCCCAGTGCTTTGCTGCTTGCAGGGCAGCGAGCCACGGCACCCCGGCGAGGGACAGATCCTGGAGGTGCCTGCTGGGGTTTGGACGTGGATCATGGGCGCATCGCGGTGCCCATCATGGGAACGGTGACAAACGGGGCTGAAATGTTGGGGAGCCATGACACGAATCGATCAAAGGGGGTACAGTCCCTGTGGGGGATTCATTGCCAGCAAGAGAATCTACACGGGCTGATCCCCACAGATGGGAGATGAGAGCCGATGCCCTCCCTCAGGAAGCTTTTTGGCATTTCACCTGCCGCGGCTCTCCGTCATTTCCCGGGGATGAGAGCTGGGCAGAGGGACTGATCCTGGGCATGGGGGACACTCGGCCCCAAGGAGCCGTGGGTGCATGGCGAGCCCCGTCCCCCCTCACTCAGCGAGGGAAAAAAGGAAGAGCCAGAAGAGCCAGGGCAGGGGCGATGGTGGGAGGCGCTTTCCAGTATTGCTCTGTTTCTGTGGCACCCCCAAACATGGAGCCCCCCCGCGGTGGGGAGGGCCAGCAGCTGGGGGGCACGCGCCTGACAGCGGGAGGCCAAGAGCGCTCATTTTATTTAACTGATTAGTGTCTCCTCATTCTGTTCACGTGAGCCTAAATGGCTTTGGGATGCTAATCCAGTGAGTAAATTAGGTAATTTTCTGTTTAGCGTAAACGTGTTCCTCAGATGCCGACAGGAGCCGGACGGGGCTCACAGTCCAGGCTGGGGGGGGGAAGGGGGGAGCCGCCCCTCACCCTGGCAGCTCCCAGCGCCGAGGCTGGGGCGCATCCAGCCCACACACCCCGGCGTCGCCAGCCCATGGCACGGCAGCACCGGTGGGACCCGCGCACCCCCCCGCCTCCCGGCCTTGCACAGAGACGCAAAGCCCAGGACACCCTCCCACCCCACCAGCTCCGCGCAACGCTGAGTGCCGGCATCGCGGGGAAATATTCCAGCTGAGCCCTCGACCGGAGCCCCTGCAAGAACCATCAGCCAAACTCACGCTTATTTTTGTCGCGTCCTTCCCAGGCTCCTCCTGTGGCGATGCTTTCAGCTGTCGGGAAAAGCGGGATGGGGAGAGAGACCAGAGAGGGAAGAGAAACGGTCAGCTCAGCTGGGAGGAGGCATGAGCCCACCGGACCCCTGCCCACCCCCGGGATGGCTGCCCCGAGCGAGGAGGAGGAGGGAGAAGGGAGAAGGGGGCTGCTCAGTCCCCGCAAACCCAGGCACCCAGGGCAGATGGGAGCTGCACAGGGCAGCCGGGGAGGGGAGGGAACGGCAGCACCGGAGCACCGGGGAGGACGGGGTGCTCGCCCACGGGTCCCCTCCGCAGCTCGGCTCCGTCAGCGGGTGCTCCCCACAACCCAGGGCTGGGGATGGAGACCTGCTCACCGTAGGATCGCCACTGCGGCAGTGATCCCTGTCCCCAGCAACCCCAGCCCCTTCACAGCCAGCACCTGCCCCGATCACCATAAATATCCCCAAATCGGCTAGAGAGCCGGGCAGTGCCTTGGGTCCCCTTTGCAGCCACCAGCAGCACCAGGGCCCAGGCGTGCGGGGTCCGCGCTGCGCCACGCAGCCCGCTCCCATGCCCGCTCCCCACACCGGCATCCCCACCGCCCCGTGCCCTGCCACCCCTCGGCCCCGCAGCCCCCGGGCCCCCAGCAGTGCTCCCGAGGCAGCGCTTCCCCGATGCTTCTCTCAATTTATGGTAATACCAGTAGCAGCGCTGCCAAAGACACAATAATAAAGGCTCATTAAAATACCTAAAGCTGCCTTCCCATTATTTGGCCCTTATCTCTGTGTGAACAGAAAGAGAAATAAAGAGACAGCTGTTTGCCGAGACCGATACACACGGAAATGGGGAAAACAAGGGAGGGCGGGGGGGTGGACGAGTTCGTGATGAGATGGGAGAAGGCACAAGCACAAAGACAAAGCCTCTGCCTGGGATCAGTCCCAGGGGATGGGCCGCATGGCCCCTTGGCTAATTGGGAAGGGCGGCCAGGACAGCCTGGCCTCACCGGCCCCGGAGCACCCTAGGCACAGCCGGACACCGTGCTCCCCACGCGTGGTCCTGCACCGTGGGACCCCCAGGCTCCTCTCTGCCCGTGAGCACAAAGCAGAGCGGGGTGAGACGTTTGCAGGTTGGGTCAGCGCTGGGGACACTGCTGCGGGATGGGGTCCCCCCCGAGCCCCAAGGGCTGCTGCAAGCAAACCCCCCGGGCAAGCGCGGGGAAGGGCTCTGCCCGGCGACGCTGCGCCCAGCAGCGCGCTGCCAGAGGGGGAGGATGGCGGGCATTACCTGGTTGGAAGCCCATGTCTGTTTGTCCGTCCAGTCCTTGTGGTTGCGGACATACCACCACTGTATCTCAAGGGAGTAGGAGGGGGAGCCGCTGCCTCGGAAGGAGCACGCCATCTCCACGTCCTCGCCCGCCTGGGCTGTCATGTCGTGGGGGGTCTCGGTGAAGAGGGCTGCAGGAGACAGAGCGAGGGCTGCGGGCGCCTGCGGGGATGCGCCACCGCCCCGGCGAGGGACGATGCCGCTGGCCACACGAGCAGGGTCACCAGGAGCGCCCAGACCCTTCCCCACCCGAACAGACCTGGCAACCTCGGCGTGGGGACAGGTCCCCGCGGCGCAGGTGG